GTGGCGCCACAAATCTTCGCATCAACTCGTAGAGTAGTTCTTCACAAGTTTTAAGAACCACAGTTGTCCACTTATAGTATGTAACTGTCTTAAGAGTAACGTTCGAATGTCTATAACGCGCTTGAGCCACTATGATGCACTGCTGTTATATCGCCCGCTAATTTGATGACACAAATATGAGTTTCTAACCGGTGAATTCACACTGTTTTAACACAAGAATTTGATGATTCGGATCGATGGACCAATGGATGTAACTTGATATGCACTTCGCGTGTGCCGCTGGTAAATAATCAAACTCCGTGTGAAAAAACTGACTTTATTGAATTAATTAACAATACATAAATAAAACGCTAATACGTATTGTTTCGCTCGCTGGTGTCCACCGGCCTCGACTTCTCATATTTGAATGATGTTGTCCCTGGAGTGCCTTTAGGGGCTCGCCTTATCTTCACATATGGCATAATATATCTTCCTACGCTACTATGTTGCCGGATTGTAAAATGCATAAAAAACTTAAATTAGATAGAGGCGTGAACAGATACAATAATAAAAAAATAAACTGGATGTGGGCAAAGTTTAAAATGTTAAATTCAATTTTCAAAACATATTACAATATATTTTTTAATTATTTATTTAACCTTCTTTAAAACACAAAATGATTGTTATTAAGTGAAAGCGCCCACCAAACTGGTGTGGCAAGTAGCAAGTAGCACGCGTCTAGCATGTTACTTAAAATGTAACCAATGGAAACGAATGATTAGAATTAATGAGGTCACTGTAATTTTGGTGTGCGCTGAATCACTCGTTTTCATTGGTTACATTTTAAGTAACATGCTAGACGCGCGCTACTTGTTACGCCAGTTTCGTGGGCGCTCTCTAAAAACTAATAACTATATTAAAAACTAAACCTAGACAGAATAAAACAAGTAAAAAAAACTATACATCTAGATTAAATTTTAAGACAACAACTTTTGCAAACTAGAAAGTTGTTTCAATGAAACTTTTATTTGTTTCACAGAAGAATCAAAAAAGTCTATATCACAGTTAATTATCACTTGCTTACATTCTTCTAACATCGTATTTATGGGTGAACAATAAGTCTTATTAGTTGAGAACAGTCGTTTGTTATTAATTCTTAGATGTATTTTTGGAACATTAAATTTAATATTATTTATAAAAAAGCAATCTTTATATTTAATGTGATTTACAACATAGTAACCCAGGAGACTCTGTACATGGAAATCTCCAGCGGACTACCAACATAGCGTCATCAGAAATTAAATTGACTACCTTCTCATCTGCAAACGATACCGAAATTCCATAAAATCAGTAAAATCATACTACGGAGCTGATGTGAGATCAGATCACAACCCAGTTGTAGGAAGGTTTAGAATTAATCTAAAAAAGCTTGTGGCTAAAACTAAAGTAGAGAGGATACAAGTATCCCGTTTGAAAGATCCATCAACAAAAGAGTAAGTCACACTAAAAAGACTTGGACTTTAAAGAAAGATGTTTCGGACAAATTGGAAACCTTCGAGTTATGGGCCTACAGAAGGATATTAAGAATAAGTTGGGTAGATAGAGTCACAAATGTCGAGGTGTTGAGAAGAATGGGTAAAGATAAAGAGGTCTTAAATACAGTTAAAGTCAGAAAACTGCGATATCTGGGACATGTTATGAGGGGCAAGCGTTATAACTTGTCGCAAGGAAGAATACAGGGTAGAAGGAGTCGCGGAAGAAGACGCATCTCCTGGTTGAATAATTTGAGAGCTTGGTATAACTGCACTTCTGCTGACCTCTTTAGAGCAGCGGCGTCAAAAGTGCGAAATCATGTATAAATAGATACCACACTTTCTGACATAAAGAAACCCCAAAAATCGTTTTTGAACCTTTTCAATCAGATCAACATTGAATACTCCAAGTGAGGCCTTACCAGTGCATTATATTACGATAGAGTTTCAAATCTTTTAAAAAAATTTGAATTATGAAGCCAAGAGCTCTGTATGTCTTTCCAATGATTATCCGATAATGTTCATGAAATCTCAAATTTTGCTGGAACATTACTCCAATATCTTTGCAAGTGTTGTTTCTTTCAATTACAAGTGCTATAAATTTTGTATTGGTTTTCCATGAATTGTGTTTTTCTAGTGATAGTAAAAACAAGACATTTAGAAGTGTTTAAAAACATTTTGTTATCATCGAACCATTGACTTATTGATTTCAGATCACATTGCAGCATCTCAGAGTCCTGCAGAGTTGAAATTTCTCGAATTTTAAAATCATCTGCAAATAGCAGGCTTGTCGAGAACTTCACACAGTGAGGTAAATCGTTAATAAATGTAGCGAACAGAAGAGGACCCAAGTTGCTACCTTGTGGTACACCTGATGTCGACATAAATGGCTTAGATAAACTGTTCCCCACTTTAACTTGATTGAACCTATCAGCAATATATGACTTCATAAACATACATGCTTCTGAATTAAAAGCTTTGGTACAATCGATAAAAATGACATCCAACTGAGTTTTATTATTTATGGCCCCTGCTGCAAAACTTGTAAAAACGCACAAATTTGACACAATGAACTTCCCTGGTAAAAAACCATGTTATTCTGGACAGAACCTATCTCCAAAGTAATTCTAAATGTTATAAAGCACGTTCTCGAATATCTTAGCAATTGAATTGATGAAAGATATAGGCCCATAGTTTTCAACATTACCAGCATTACCAGATTTAAGAGAGGTATTATAACTGCATGCTTTAAGCTATCTGGAAATTTACTTTGTTTAAGGGACAAATTAAAAATTAGTGTGAGAGGGACAGAAAGAGTCTATGCCATCGAGCAAAAAGACAACCTTGTCTTTTTGCTCGATGGTCTATGCCCAACCTTTAAAAATGTATGTAAAAACTTTTATTTTTGAAAAGTAAAAGCCCCTTGATTCAGTGTACTATTGATACTATTTGATCTTTGAAATACAGCACTAAAGTATTCTGCAAAAACATTGGCAATATCCTGACAGAAACTTATGTCCACACCCCTATAAGAGACCTGTGTTGGAATTGTATTATTTACACTACGGGATTTTATAAAGGACCAAAAACTACTAGGGTCAGTTTGTACATTATTCTCAATATGTATTTTCATTGTGACACATATATGCTTTTCTACGAAGCTGTTTCACCTCTCGTCTCAGTGCTTTATATTCAGCCAAAAAACCAAAGAATTTGTAGATTTATTTACCTGCCTAAGAAGACAATTCTTACATTTAATCTTCGATATAAGTTCCGATGTAAAGAAAGTAGGATACCTGTTTGTTGTTCTTAATACATTCCTCGACTGTTTTTTGGGTACTGACTGATCAATGCATTCATACAACTTTTCATAAAATAACTGCATACATTTTTTACGTTTTGTTTTTTTTTTAACGTTTTTGAAGTATTCCTAGCTATTGTTTAAAGTCCCTTCAGTTTGTAGTAACTAAAATTTAATAAAAATATATTTTTATTTAAGCTAACAACTAAAGGATACGGACATACAAAAGTATGTCCAGAAGTATATTGTAGGTACAGAAGATATATGGAAAGCGTGCGGTGGAGGTCGCGGTCGATACATCGATGTCAAAACAAACCATTAGAGAGTTTTTGTGCAAGCAAATACGTATACGTAACGTATCTTTTTGACATATAAGCATGCGCATTTATGGTTGAACTAACGTCTAGTTACGTATTACCTAACGTAACGGGCTGATACGTTACGTTCATACGCATCCCTATCGAGTCGAAATTAACTGAATGCATCCGATTACCAAACTATCAACATCAACATTTCATCACATTTGTGGTTAAGTATAATTGTTTTGATTTTTATAAATAATGGGAAGTAGTAGAAAACGTCTTGGCTTCTGAAAATGATTAGTTTTTGTTGAAGGAAGTCGTAGGCCAGATCCCTTATGATTATTCAGAAATGGTGGAATTTAATCCAACAGTGAAAAAGATTTTTACATTGTATATCAGACATGGTATAAATTAAAGCGATAGTATGTTCGTGCAAGATGTGGAGAAGAAACGCATTTTCTATGTCCTCGTTTTCTTTTACATCAATAAAGGCACCTACATTTATTATTGCGTTTATCTCCAAAATTAAAAATTGTTGAAAAAATATTTAATATTTATTTTGAATATCAAAAATAGGGTTAAATGACAAGGACAACTGTGCCACTGACAACTTATTAGTTTATCATTAATTCGATGAGGGCAACACCATCGTTAGATTACGTGCAGAACAAAAACTCTCAATTTAACCTTCATTTTCTTCGATACGTAAGTTCTTTACGTATAGGGAGATACGTTATGTTAGGTAGTTACAAAAACTCCCTATTTTCTCATAGATCGTACATACCAAGTATGTATCACCTGTTCATCACCGTGACATATCATCTCGGTTTTCCAGCGATCTCAATGACAGAACAAAGTAGTTTGTTTTACATTGCGATCGAGTTGTTGATCGCGTGGTAAATTACAAGTTTATTGGTGGTTTTCAAATCATGTGGCAGTCGCCGGAGATACAGATGGTATGATAAATATACTTAACTGTATCCAGATTCATTCTCATAAACATAAAATCTGTCTTGAGTGGTGTTTCTTAAGCTCTTTAAATAGGTGATGGGATTCTTCTAGATACTGGTTTTTTTTTTATTTATAAGTTAAGCCAAAAGCTGGCAATTTAAAGAATTACAAATGATCCACTGCTTTTCACTTGAAGAAATGCATTCACTATCGTTCGTCACTACTGTTGCTCATGTACATAATTTTACAATGGATACGATAAACATGGAGAGACAGCTGGTCTCTACATCATTATAGTAGCTGCCATATTTATGATGTGATTTATGAATTTTATTTGTTAGTCACAACTTAAGATCATCTTTTGAAGCCTGCTACAATTCTAACCTTGGTTGGAATAAATATTTCTTTTAAAATTACGGAAAAGAACAACACTCGTAAAGCAATAGGTGCTTTATTAACAAATTTATAACTAACAACATCTATATCTGTTTTACTATTCACAAACTCAGTAAAAAAAGTTTTCTCTAGCTGTAATGTATTATATACAATAATTTACATATTTCCCCTTTCCCTTTGTATTCTCATACCATATGCTTTTGATACTAGATTCCAAGAGTCCATATACCTGTCCATACACATAGCTACACATTTCTGAAAATAAAAAAAAGTATAATAAATTTTTAATACATAGATAAAAATATAGGACTAATTAAAATATGCCATCACATGAGAGATGGAGCAACAAACTTGAAATAACACACAAAACCCAAATATGCTTAATTTGTTTAGACCTGATCATATTAAGGGGGTATGTTCACGCCGCAGTCAAAATGAGTGGTGTTCAAATAAACTAACGCTTAACAATTTCTTTAATAGATGGCAGCACGTGCATCATATTTTAATATTTTGATTTTCTCGAAATTTAATTATCTGAACAGCGACAGTGTTGCCAACGACGCCACGTACTGGAACTTAAAATATAATATACGATCGGGAGAATCGGTATAGTTCGCTCTCGGTCGGCAGTCTTCTGCAATGTAAGTTGAAATTGCGCTATCGTATTATTTGATTTGAAGTTTCACAAATTCTAATTTTTGGATTGGATAATTTTATCATTCCATATCATTTTTTAATTTTTGTATCGTGTTGCGTTGAGGTTCATTTACCTTTGAAGTGAAATTGTTGTTTTGTTTTTTTTTTGTAAACGTTTTAAATGGTGCATATTAGTTTTGTAAAAAACTAAATTTATTTCAAGTAGAAAAATTACTTATAAATAAAAATATACACCTGTAAATTTCATTTTTACAGGTGTTATAATTTTTTTGTGTGAATTTTTGGATTGGATAATTGGATCATTCCATATCATTTTTTAATTTTTGTATCGTGTTGCGTTGAGGTTCATTTACCTTTGAAGTTAAATTGTTGTTTTGTTTTTTTTGTTTTGTTTTTTTTTTTGTAAACATTTTAAATGGTGCATATTAGTTTTGTAAAAAACTAAATTTATTTCAAGTAGAAAAAATTACTTATAATAAACATATACACCTGTAAATTTCATAATTTATTAACCCATCAGAGGACGCTAAGGACTGATCAGTTCTTTGTAATTTTACATTTATCTTGGCAATAAGACTATTGAATTTATATTCATTTCAGCTAGTAAACGAAAAGCTTCCGTTGCTAAATCAATTTTTTTTTCATTTTAAACTTCACTCTGTAAAAATGTCATTAACCCACTCTAAAGTGTGTTTTTAAAGTTGTAACTTCTGCAGTTTTTTCCAATATTTTCCATGGACACGAAAACATAAGATGCCATTGTCGAATCATATTTTCTGGCAGACATGACTTAATAAGAGGATACAATATCGCCGCTAACTTGTCAGCAGTTTTGTCTAAGGTCTCAAGTGAACGAAGTTGACTATCAATCATATCATAAAGAGCAGAAATATTACAAATATATATATATATATATATATATATATATATATATATATATATTATATATAATATATATATATATATATATATAATATATATATATATATATATATATATATATATATATAATACTAAGAAACTCGACTTAAAATTAACTTTGAGAGCTCTCTAATGTAAACTTCAATTTGGAGATCCTCTATGCCAAACCTAGACTGCAATCTCTGAATAATTTTTGAACTCGATTGGAGGTAATTTAAATTTGGACTTCTTCGGAAGCTTCTTCGAATATACTTTTAGGTACCGTAGGTTAATCGAGGCAAAATTTTGCCTTGGTTTTACCTTTATTTACCTTTATAGTTGTACTTATTGAATCACAATATCGAGTAATAAAAAAAGGGGTCGATGGTCAGAAGTTATATCGGCAGCTGTTATATGGGCAATCAATTGAAAATTTTGGATTATTGATAAGAAGAGAATTATTTGTAAGGTATGCTTTAGGTCAAGCTGATGTGAAAGAGATTTCATGTGCAGAAATTTCTGTGTGGTGTTTTGTCTACAACTTCCTGTTACTTTCTATGTTAATCAATGTGAATTGAACTACCGATTTGTTTGCTGTCGTTCAGATCGTCAAATTAAGTAGCTGTACGGTAATATTTTTCCTTTTATGTACTGTTTTGTGAATTTATTCCAGTTATTAGTTTCGGTTTCATAATTAATTTTTCATAAGTTGATTTTTGTGAATGTAAGAGAGAATCTTTCTGTGCAATATGAGTGGAAAACGAAAGAGAGTAATTGCACCTTTGGAAACAAAAGTGAATACAATTAAGAGGTTGGACAAGGGTGAATCAATAAAGAAGGTTTCTTTAGATTTAGATGTCGGAGAAGTAACTGTTGGATATTGGAAGCGTAAGCCGAATGAAATCGAATAGTGGGTAAACCGAAGTGTGAGTGGTGGTAGTGGATTGGTCCAAAAAGCTTTGTTGTTGTTGGACAACGCACGATCCCATCCATATGTGAGGGAATTGATTAGTGGTGACATACAAGCTGTGTTCCTTCCACCCCATGTAACATCTCTCATCCAACCCTAGACCAAAACGTTATATAAGGAATGAAGAGGAATTATCGGCGGAAGCTTCTTCAGGTACTAATCTATCTATCTATCTAATCAGCCTTAGACGCCCACTCTTGGGCATAGGCCTCCCCTGTTAATCTCCATTGGTCTCTATTTTGGGCGATCTACATCCAGTCCTTTCCTGCCTTTCTCTTAAGATCGTCAGTCCATCTCATCTGTGGTCTTCCTCTTTTTCTTTTCTTTTCCCATGGTTTCCAGTGTAGAATTCGCTTATTCCATCTTTCATCTTTTTGCCGGAGAGTGGTGACCGGCGAAGTTCCATTTAAGTTTTGCAACCTATCTTGATACATCGTTCACCTTTGTTTTTTCTCTGATCCATGAGTTTTCTTTTCCTGTCTTTAAGACCGATACCCAGCATCTGTCTTTCCATTGCTCTTTGTGTTTTGGATATCCTGTCGATGTTCTCCTTTGTGAAAGTCCTGTTTGTGAGCCATATGTGATAACTGGTAAAATGCACTGGTTGAATACTGTCGTTCGCATATATTTAGGGAACTTTTTATTTTTTAGAATATATGATAGTTTTACCAAATGAGGCCCATGCTAGTCTAGTTTTTCTTTTTATTTCTTCTGTTTGATTGTCCCTGTTCAGCTTTATTATCTGTTCTAGGTATATGTATTCTGCCACCTGCTCTAATTTATTCTGTTTGACTACTATTTCTAATTGGTCTTCTTGGTTTGTCATAGTCTTGGTTTTTACTATAGTTCATCTCTAGACCTATCTCTGTCGCTTTTCTATCTAGTTTCTCAACCATCTTCTGTAACTCTTCCTTCTTATCTATTATCAGGACTATATCGTCTGCATATCTCAAGGTACTCTGCATATCTTCAGCCACTGCTAACTATAAACTGGATGAAGGGCTGACTGTAATTGAGGCATTGAAGAAGATCACGGTTAAAGATGTTTGCTATTGGATTGCATCTGCCTGGGACGACGTTAAAAATGTCCACTACTCAGAAGTTGTGGAAAAAATTATTTAAGATAGACAACAAAACACAAGACGTTCAAAATAAAACTGATGACTGTAAAGTTGATTCTATAGCCCACCTAGCCAATCAATTACCAGTAGAACAAACAATCGTAAAACAAGACATCATCGATTGAAGGAATCTAGATGAAGTGGAACTGACAGATGATACAATTGCCATTCTAGGTCTAAACGTCACCCATGAAGAAGAAGAAGAAGAAGAAGATACAGATGGGATAACTTAAAAGATTTCTCATTCCGAAGGATTTAAGTCCCTTGAAGCAGCTCTCGTATACATTGAGCAACAAGAAGAATCAACACCATTAGACGTCCTTCATTTTCAACGTTGGCGCAACATCGCCGCCCCAAAAGGAGGAATGAAGTTGAAACAAAAATCAATCAAAGACTTTTTTAAAACATTTATAAATTAATTTTTTTTTATCTTTTATACTACTTTTATATCAGTTTTTAGTTATTAAAATAAACACATTAATCATTATTAACATAGGTACACATTTTTCTATCAGTATAACCAATCTCAGTGACAGAGTTCTTTCGGTATCCGAGGTAGTCACGGTCCCAATTACCTCAGATAATCGCAAGTCCTACGTACAAAAAGCTTAATTTTGTATCAAATTACACAAGTGTGATTTTATTTTAATACAGTTTCCCAAATTCGACTAACTGTATCTAAGCATACTATACAATTCTAATATTATTATTAATATGAAAGATGATACCACATTCCCAGACGTCATAAATTTTAATTGCCTTACACTTACACCAGCAATCAGCTGGATGTGCTGATTAGGGATTTTTGTTACTTGCCTTGTATACACAAAACGTTTCATTCATTTGGAGGTATTTTATTACTCATATTTCAGGCGACAAGTCTGAATTATTTATCTACCCAAAAATATTTATTTCAAACTGAAAAGAAATTTGCAATTGTTTGAAAAACAGGTACTTAAATAATGATCAAAAAGGGATTATGGTAATTGGATCGACTATTTATGTATAAAAACAGTATTTATAAGAAATCTAAAATATATAACATTAAATTATTAATAATATATTTATAATAATTATTATAATATTATAATATAATAATAACAATTTTTTCATATCGAATGTCAACAGGGGAAGTGTTTTCCTCAAGAAAATTTCAGATTTTCATCTCGTTCTAATTATGACTCAAGTAAATATTAAAGTAAATATCAATCAATCTTATTTTCTTCCGGAAATAATTAATCGACAAAATTTAATCGATCATTACATACTATTGTTTTGTCTATAAAAATTAAATTTGTTAAAAATTGAATAAAACGAATTGTTTTTATGTTTATATATTATGTAAAAACCAGTATAATCCCGCAGTAAATTTTACTGACCATAGTTTGACTTTCAACCACGATTATATAACATCAGGGTGCCAAGGAAAAAATATGGTAAACTTGTATATTTAAGACATTGTTCCCTTATACAATCATGATTGAACATAGAAAGAAAGTCAAACGAAGCCACAATATTAACTACTGGTGGGAGGGACCGCCTTGCTAACAAAACCACGTGATTCGTTACTATGGTTACTGCATAACTCATAGACAATTGGAATAACCACAAAACTAGTTTTCAATGTTTTGCAGATTTTCTTTAAATTCGGCAAACGCGCATCTATCGCTATTTTAATACATCAGTGCTGCCTTCTACTAAATGACACGTGAACTTATTTTCTCATCTGTTAAGTGATAGCTGAACTAATTTCTCACTATAAAAATGCCAACTTATTACGGTAACATCAACAAAATCCCTAGTTTGCAGCTTTTAATTGTAATTTTATCTTTAGGTACAGTTAATTTAAAAATTACGGCAGTATGGATAACAAACATTTGCTTAAAATAAAGGTTTTTGGATAGTTAATCATTTAACGTAGTTATTTTTGCACCTAAGTTCAATAATTATTTCACAATACCAATTTTTAGGCATGTTACCACGTAAGTTATGACATGGATGCATTTAAGTACAGTTATGAAAAAAATACTGCTGTTTTTGAAAATGTTAACTAGATATCATTAAAATAGAAAGTTTACAGTTTACGTACATAATCATAACTTGAAGATCTGTTTTGAAATAGTGACGATAACTGTACCTAAAAAGTATATAAATTTTAACATTGTGACATACCACCTTAAAGCAAAGTAAAGAGTTGTAACCACTTACAACTTGAGTTTAAAGTGAACTGGTAAATGAGGGTAGCTATTTAGAAACCAAATTCCCCATTTAGGCAAACATTTAAGATCATAAATTAAAAATCAATATACAAAGGTAAAAGTAAAATTAATACCAACTAATGAATTGAAATATTGGCAGATTATATCCCAATAGAAGCATAAACTGGCAGTAGAAATGAATTATTTATAAAAACTAAATATTCACCTACTATTATTGAATTTAGGATTTCCAATATTAAAGTATAAATCATAAGCCACAATATAATTTAAAGAAGTTAAGTATATGAACCTGCACCGACTACCTCTAATTATTTTATTTAGATTAGTTTTTGGCTTGTTTTATTTTTAATATTAGAAACTGCTTTATATTAAATTACTACTTTAATTTAAACCTGAGAAACAATAAACACAATTTCATTTTGGTAGTATTATCAAGCCTCAAGTTTTTTTATATTGTCTAGCAGCAAGTTTACACTCTGTAACTTCAATTTTAAGAGACCATTCAAATTGGTCAGCCATAAACCATTTTTCAATAATAAAATTAATCTACAACTTTACTTACTTGTTCCGAACTGTCTAGTGAAGTTCCTGGTTTTGATATACATTTTTTAAAGCATTTTTCGGTCATTTTCTGTAAATAAAAACCAATTTAGATTGGCCGATTGTTTAAAATAAAAGTATACTTACTGTGAGAAGTTCTTGTGCATTAGCAACAGCAATTTGTTGTTTAACTTGATCCATTAATTCATCTTTTTGGGCTCCAGATAATGAAGAAATTCCTTCCATTTTAGATTTAAATTTGTCTATATCCTAAATCCTAATTATAAAATTAAATGTGATGAGATTTGAGGTTAAGAAAATTTTTAAAAAGGGTTGTCGGATGTCAAATGTCAACTTTTGGAATATTGACCGAATTACAGAACCGGACAAACAGTTAAGATTGAAACATGATTAATGCCACTTAATGCCCATTAAATTATATTTAATTTTTATTAATCATTGTGGTTGAATTTGTTCGTAATTTTCAGTTGAAAGTGATCGTATATCTTTTTCGTTTTTTTAATTCATATTTTGTTTTATTGATCTTTGTGTTGTTACTAGTTTTGTTTTGTATGGTGGCATTTGTATATTATTATATAATTTTTAATCAATCTTATTTTTTACATCTGCTTCCCAGTTTGAAACTTTGTTAAATCCAGTCCTGATTCACTGGTCATAAAACACAAATAAATTGTCGTTCAGCTGTTTGACAAAGTCAAATCATAGTATAAAACTAAAAAGAAATTTGTGGTCAAATTTATTGAAAAACAAAAATATATACATAACCTTTTTGTCAACCACAACAAAAACCTGTTTTACAAGTTTTAGACAACTTGCTCTTAATAGTATATGTTTCAATACAAACAATACGAATATGCACGACGAAAACATTACAAAGATGGATAATTTGAGACCTCATCAAAGCGAACTACACCATCTTGCTGAATTAGCTGGAGTTCATATGGATTCCAAAATATTCAGGTGAGTTCCAATATTCAGCTTTTCATATTTGAAGAATTTGGTTTTAGCATGCAGCATATACTACCAATATTTATAATTACATGTAATACTTTTAGGATGCTCGTGGAACTCCTCAACATGGGTTATGATCCTGATATTATCTATAATTTATTGAAAACAATCAAAAGGTCAAGGAACAGCAAACCTAGAGTTTCAGCCTCTCATAAATTAAAAAATACAGATGATAGATGAATATAAATTGTTTGTGTGATTTATGTAAAAGACATTGGGTAACATTTACCTTGTAAAAATGACAAAAATTGCATTTATTTATTTAAAAATAGTTAATATATTAGTTATATATGTAGATATAGAGATATACATGTTTAGAATAATGCCCAAATTATTACAATGGCCAAGTTGTTGATTCTTTTTTATAATGATCATATAATATGGTTTTTGAATATAATTTATAACAAAATATGTGTAGATTACCTCCTTAATATACTAAGTCTATTGACAAGTGAAGTAACCCTATAATAAAATTCTTTGAAAAAGACAGTAATCAAAAAGTTAAAATCAAAAAGAATAAAGCTAAGAAAATTACAATACCCAAGGATAAGAAGTATCCACTTCAAAAATTGTTTGCATAATGAAGAAAATAAAGATGTGCCAATAAGGATTCGGTGACATATGAAATGGTTAGATGAAAACAAGTTACCTAAAATAATATGCAACTTCAGTAAATTGATGAAACAAAGGCCAACATGACCTTAAAGATATCTATATAGAGAAAATGTGGAGCGATCTTGAATTAAAGTGAAGTACTGACTCAAAGTCGCTTTTAATTCTTAGAAATAAAGTAGAGGTAGGTTTGACTTTTTACATAGAAAATGAAACGATTTTTGAATTTTAAGTTGTCATCAACTTCAAAAAGTAATAGTGACCTGTAGACAACTTCAAATATTGTTTCTTTGTTACTTAATTTTTTTAATTGTCATACTTAATTACCACCCTTGCTACATCTCTTTGACTTTTTTGACTATCCAATATTAATAATTGTTTTACATATGGTAGTCCAGTTGTCAGAGACTTTTTTTTTCAGAACAAGCTGAATTTTGTTGAGAATGTGAATTTTGGGACTCAAAAATGATGCAAAAAGATAAGCAGTTTTACCTCCTGCTTCTCCCTAAAAGAGCCCCTTGTAGGGGAGAAGGAAATGAAAAAATAAGTTTACCAAGAATCGGTATGTACTAGAAAAAAAATTTTCAAATAAAAAATGTAGCTCAGATAATTTTGAACAAAAATCTCAATTACCACTTTTTGTGTAGAATGAACTGTTCTCTCAGAAACAATTCTTGAAGCTGCCAGCGATTTTGAACGTCACGCGCGCGAAATCAATTTTAAATAAAATTTGTATCAACTTAAGGATAAAACTTATGATATCTTTTGTTAAGAGTATTCTATGAAGTGAAAAGTGCTGCTTTCGTATGCAATTTTTGTATTTTGCCGCAAATAAATTCAGTTTTGTGTTATGGGTTTTGAAGATTAGGCTCTAACAATAGAAATTTCACTAAATCTGGTGAATGAAAGTGATACATTTTATTGATGTCACAAAAATAATAAAAAATGGCAAAAATCGGGCAAAGTTAAGTTACTTAACACCTTTATCACAAATATACATATCAAACCACAAATATACATATACAACCAGCGATACAAAATCGCTGGTTGCTTAAAGCGTTGTTTCTGAGAGAACGGTTCATTCTACACAAAAAGTACTAATAAACGTTTTTGTTCAAAATTATCTCAGTTACATTTTTTATTTGAAACATTTTCTTCTACGGCATACAAATTCTAAGTAAATCGATTTTTTTCCGTTGAGGGACGTTTTAGAGAAAGCCGGGGGGGGGGGGGTAAAAGTTGTAAACTTTTTTGGGTCTCAAAATTGACATTTTTAGCAAAATTCAGCTTGTCTGTATGATTTTTAGAGGTTCAGTGGCATTTTCGTCTCTGACGACTGGGTGTAATTCTTTCTTCATCTTTTGAACTTGGATTCATTTCTTGTATTGTTGGTTGCCTAGAATCCGGTTTATATAATTTTATAAATATTAACATTGATCAAAAACGTAAACTCTGGAATTTACGATAGTATTATAGTTTTTTGTGGCTATTTTTAACTTTATTAAATTTTAAATAAATCATAAAAGAATCAGTTTGTGTCAATAGAGAGTTTTTAAGCCCCTTATTTCAGTAACGTTAAACGTTATACGTTATTCTGCTCATGCGCATTAACAGAAAAATAACGGATTACTTTATTAGAGGATAAGATATTCCCTTATTTAGGTAAAGATAAGGTTAACGTTATTAAGGGATTACGTGTTTGTAATGTTGTCAAATGCCAGATATATAAATCATAAAAAACAAAAAAAGAGTCATATGAGCAGCTCTCTTTCCTTGTCTAAGAGCAGAACCAAAGATAACTATGATAGAATAAAAAAATAGAAAATTTAGTTCAGCATCTTTCTCTTCAATTGTTTCCAACACAAAATGTAGTCTTGATGCAACAGGTATTACAGTATCAAAAATATTGTGAAGAATTAAGCCTCTTATCAAATTGTAATCTATTACTTCTCTGTGTCTTCGTCATCTATTTTCTTATATTATAGCAAATTATTCAAATAAAATAGGTTATAGAGTATTTACGATTGAAAACAAAGTATCTGACCCTTGGCGGAATAAATTTAAACTACTATAAATGGTATAAACAAACCAGACAGCTGTTGATTTGAATAGAATTATTAAATTTTTTTAGTAAATTTCAACATTATGACTAAATGACAAAAATCAATAACCCTGCTATGACACAAATTGGAATGGACAGAATCCAAAGAAGAAATATACAGATATTTACATCACAATATTTTAAACTGTATTTAACATTGTTGTAGGGAGAAATGTTGGAAAATTGTAGTAAAAATCATCCAAGTACATCAGCAATGTATTCCAGTATATATTTTTGTCCAGATTTATCTGAAATTAAACCATTTGGTTGTCTAATGAATGATTGTATTGGTCACTATATTTTGTAAATAAAAGATTTATTTTGTTTCAATAATCTATTATTAATAAAAAAACTACCTTCTGAATGCCTTCGTTTTTATTTAGGTAAAACATAAAGATCATTAAATGTTAAAATAAGTGAACAACAAATGTATAATATTAAAAAGTCAGTTCCAAACACTGAAGTTAAAATTTAAGAATTCATCACTTGAAAGCTGCGTCCCCTTCAACCAATGGCCTCTGCTTCACCAACACAAGGCTAATTTCCTTTTTTAAATGATAAAAATAACTCGTCTTAAACCAAACTAAACTTTGAAAAGCAATGGTAAACATTCGACTTTCATGTTTGTTTATACCATTTATATCGACCTATAACTGCCGTTTTATAGGTTACGTTCGTCAAATGTCAATTAACGTTAATCTGTCACAGCTTAATTTCTGAAAGGATTCAAAAACTATTTTAAGTAAAAACGTTATCCCTTATTTATTATTCAAGGCGCATGACAAGTATAACGTTTTACGTTTAACGTCCATCGAAAAATAAAGGGCCTAAAAACTCTCTAATATAAAATATAATTTACTATCCCATCGTAACTGTCATTTGTCACATTCCAAACTGTCAATTTTTGTGTCTTACAGAGTACAAACGTGAAAATTTTGTTTGGTCTTAAATCAAAAACATTAATGTTTTTTTAGCAATAAAATTTGATTATCCCGTCACCTATGCGTTTTGAATATATCGCTAGAAAACATGTCTGTGGAAGAGGAAATCGAATTGAAAGATTTAATTGCTCAAACATTGAATACAAATGGAACATTGGCCAAAATAAAGGTATATAAATACGAAATTTTATTTGAATTCAATATATATTACGTAGCCTAGGAGTAAGTAGTAGGTTCAGCATTTTTGCTGTAAATATTGGTCGTTATTTTGATTCCTACTATATAAAATTAGGGGTTTTAATTTTGATACTCTATGTTTAATTTTTGGGTCTGCTAACTAAACTTGTAAAGTTGGAATAATACATTTAAATCACTTTACTTTAGAGCTGCTACATCATAACAATAAGAAGCACCGAAGATTCCATTCAAAGTTTAGCATGACCTGGTGAAACTAATCTATATAACAGGTTGTTAAAATCGGTGTCCAAAAACGCTTTAAAATTAATAATCGTTTGATATTTAGGGTTAATTAAACACTAATATAAGAAGCAGCACAAAGATTTAGTTATGGATTTATAATAAAAATTAAGAAAAATACTCTTTTTTAGGCTCAACTGCGTGCTAGCATATTTCTTGCCTTGGATGAAGATGAAAAAGTAAGTTCTATTTCAGATTTATGCATTTTAAATATCTAAATAATTTTATACTGAAAATATGGACAAATAATATTGTAATATTTATCTGAATAATAGTAGCTTGATTTTTTTAATGTTGTTCTCAGTAAAATAATTAAAACAACTATAGGAAAACTTACTACTTCACTGGAAAGTAATACACAAAACACTAAGTCAAAATTTGGTATTATGAACAACTTTACAAAAAAATACAAAAAATTAATATTTAATCCATATAATAAATGTGCAATAAACAGCAGAGTCAAATGACTGAGTAGTACTGTAGAGATGATTATGACTACCACTATGATATTTGCCTCAATTGCAACTTTTTACTTTAAATTGAATAAAATATTATATAAAGAAACATAATCTACAAATTTTATTGACTAAAGACATGTTTCTTTACAATACATTGTTTGAAAACATACTGAGAATAAAAAGTAAACATACAAAGTATTATTTTGTTTATAGGATGTGTAGGATTGTAGGCTATTTATAGCCACCCAATAAATAATTTCTTAAACTCCATTATTATTGATATTAAAAAATTATTACATGATATCAAATACACACAGAACACAGCTACTTTACTATGGATTAAAGGACACTGGAGTAATTGAAAACAAAATAGCAGATGAAATGACAAATACATTTGAGATATAAGAAATGACAAATATTTTCTACTTTAAAGATCAATTTGCTATTTCAGGAGTATTTAGCAGGATAACATGGAGAAGCTTCAAAATATAAAGAGATCTAGAAGCCATTATTTTACTATTCATTAAGTATTATTCATTTCAACTATAACTATAATAAAGTACATTCCTCATTCATAAGCTGGGTAAAAGTTAACCATGGTTTCTTCTCAGAGCATATTTATAGGATTGGAATCTGTGAGATCTGTTAGAGATTTAAATCATGTACTTAATTTTCACAAGTTCTCAAAATTAGTCTACCAGTTAACCTACATTCAATATTTTAACTAATCTCATCTGTGTTAGATTGGAACACTTTTAATGATAATCTTGATGTAAATTACCTCGCAATGTTTCTAATAGATAATTAT